ATGCCCCAAGCCTGTCAGTGTTTAAGAGGCATTTGGACAATGCCCTTAACAACATGCTGTAACTTTTGCTCAGCCCTGAACTGGTCAAGCAGTGGGACTAGATGGTCGCTGCAGGTCCCTTCCAACTGAAAATATTCTAAAACGACTTAGACTCCCTGTTATATGCCAGACTTCGCAATCAGTGAGCCCACAGGCTGGTCACAGCAGATGAAATGTTCAGAACTGTTATGCGTAACTCCCTCTCCCAATACAAACCTCATCAGTTTTGATAGTTTTAAGATTTCTGCTACACATGACAGGAAATGCTTTAAAAAAAAATCTAAACTTCCATATATAGTATCTCAAGAGTTTTTCTCGCAAATGTGAGCAATAGCCTCACGTTGTCACCCGGGATGTTGAAGACTAAGACTCAGAGTTTGTTCCCTATCAGAGAAAGCCAGGAACTGACTTTCAGTCTCCCGCTTCCTCAGTGGAGGACTCGCCTACGCAACCATTTCCATAACATTCTGTGTCCAGGTAATGCGAGTTCTCTTTGCACATTCATTTTGAAATACTACAAAAAAGGTAGCCTTTTTCTCTCCAGAAAGTAAAACTGTTTCCCAGCATAGCCAGAACTAAGGCAGATAGGGTGGGGAAGAAGAACAATGCAACTAGAAGATGCAGAAAGGCATCAGTCTGCTGTAAACAAGGATAAATAGAAAACATACGCACTTAATGACTGTTATTAGCAGCAACGTAATTCAGAATAATACATTTACTCACACAGCAGCTCTTCAGGTCCCTCATAAAACACTTGTTCTAAGACCGATTGAATAAATAAGATTTCGAGTAGGCCTCCGATGTAGTGCATTTGCATATGGAAATGATCCTGGTGAACATGCTCTATAAATCGCTTATACATACATAAATGGCCAGCCTGAATAGAAACTTTTTTTCCCTTCTCCTTAACTTGGAGAAACTTCATAAAAAATGGGTAAGAAAGGCAAATAAGAGAGACAAGAAAAGAACTTCAGGAGAACAGCATCTCTTTAGTTTGTTTGTTTGGAGAAGAAATAAAGCAAGCTTTACAGTGACTTTCAAACTGCCACGTGCCTGGTCCTCCCCTCAGCATTCCTCCTCGCCCTCTCTCCAGCTCAGTGTTTCATTCATGACAGGCAACATGAGCTTCAACAACTTCACAGCGGGGAGATACCCCAACACCCTGCCATCCTTTAAAGTGAGCCCTCTCTGCCACCAGCTCCCGGGCTCCCCCCACTCACGAGCCCACTCACGAGCCCACCCCTGCACCCCCCACTCGGCAGCAGGCCCGGCCCCTGTCATCCCCTCATCACTGCCGTCCCAGGCAGCACCTTTCTCCTTCCCCCCTACAACACACACTGGCCAAAAGAACAAAAAGGGGGTCGGGGTTAGGATTATTTTTCCCCCCCTCCAACTCAATTAATACCACGTGATTAAAAGAACAAGTGCTTCCGATTTTGATCAAATCAATAGTTTTATTTCCACCTGTTAAAAGAACTGTTTGCCTACCAGCAGAGTCCAACATAGATGGGACAGACAGACAGGAATACAATTAAATACAGGAAAAATTGAACTATATACAACAAGACATACATTTACATAATGAAAAAATCTTTATATTATCTATCACTTCTTGCCAATGCGAAACATCACTGGAATTCAAATATATTGGGGTTTCTTCCCCCCCAAAAGCGTGTAACGCAATTTAGTATTTTTCCATGTACTGAGACTTAAAATTCATTTTGAGATACACAAAATTTGTGGTATTTCACAGGGTACACAAAAGCTAAAAACTTCTTTGTTAAATATTTTATAGCTTGTGGTATCTAAATTTCAATTAGATCTATTTATTGAGACACAAACTATAAAGTGATATTTACATGGAGGGAGTTGTGCAAAGTCATTTTAGGCTATGGCTAGTACACTGTGAAAGATGCACAGATACGAGACTCACCCTCAGCCCCAGAGGTAACCCCTCAAATCCTCCTCTTAGCGTCCCTCTCGTACTGTAGCCACACAAGGAAAACTGGCCATAATTTTTTTTTCTCGTTTTTTTAAGCTATTGGGAGAAAGCTGTTTCTGTGGCCCTTAAATACCTCGACAGTTTGAATGTTGGGCTGCTTCTCTTCATGCAATTAATGCTTTAAGCAATCTTTAGTATTGTTTCATCGTTTCTATGGTTTTTGGGACCCAAATTCCAGCCGCTGTTGTCACCGCACTATCCTAAGACTGCTGTAGTTGCCTGTAGTTTATATGACCAATAGGAGCACACAGTAACTCAACGTGTGTAACATTTTAGTAGTTACCATATCACCACACTGCAGAAACGGTGTATTCCTGGTAACAGGGCCAAACGAAAGCTATTCCAAACCAGGGTGCGGAAGGTATTGTGTTTAAGCTAGCCTTTGTCTGTATTACTACATCCAGACACATCCCTAAACATCCTAATAAAAAAAAAAAAACCGCTTTACTTTTGGGTTGCAATCTTCAATAAAGAACTTGAGACAGCTAATTAGAAGAGGTGCTTCAATTAACAGCTTCCTACAGATCCCTAGGACAGGCTAGCAAAGACACATCAGATATCAACGTTAACTAAACACATCCTACAATTGAGCTGCACCAGAGCACAGAATGGTGCTGCTGATGGTTTTCATAATCAACCAACTGCCAAAAGGCACCCGAAGTTTAATTTTGATTTTTTTTTTTTTTTTTTTTTTACAGACCGAATTTCAACCTTCATAGATGCAGTTACTACATATGTGGATCCTAAAATACTGATTTCAATCACCTCATCTACACTTTTAATTACTATAATCCTGTTTGTATCACCTCATCTGGGATTCCACATCAGCTTGCAGATTTTAGCTGTAACAGGTTTAAAGCAGACATTTGTACCTCAGTCCTGGAAAAAACCCAAAAGTGACTGGGTAACAGTTCATAAACCTGTGTATTCCTGCCTTGCTTCAACAGAGGAATGCTCTCTCCTAGGACATGTATCTGACTTCCTTCTTTTTTAAAAATGCACATTTAAAGAAAGCTGGACAACCCTCAGGGCAAAGGGAGATTAAACTTCTCTCTCAAAAAGCTGCCAAGTCCAGATTGCTACCAAACATCTTTTAAAGCCTCCGCTTCCTAAATCCATGGCAATACACTTATTTATTTTTTAATCCTATGCACCAGGCTAAAACCAGTCAGGTGTCAGTGTAACAACTGAAGAGAACAGCAAAGTGAACATACTGAACTTTAAGCATTACGCTGCGTACACTTGATACAGTAAGAAGACCTGTAGGTAGTTTGGTATTCAGCTGACAAGAGGAAAGCATACAATTTGCTTCTTATTCATCACTAGCAAGCAAGCCTAGAGAAGACTACATTCTCCTTAGTTATCAGGCGAGAGCACTATAGAACAGTAGTAAACCCAAGAGACCATCTCATCCTGTTAGAAAATAAATTCAGTGTTGTGATTCAAATACAGGAATTCTTGGCAGTTAGAACATTCAAAGAAGTATTTGCACACTGACATGTTGCAACTTTTCTACGTACTTTAGATCTCATGGAGTTCATAAAAGACATCTACATGTTCAAGCCTTCTGCTTAAAAAAACCTGATTGCTGGTTAACAGCAGGTTATTTTATTGCATGACCCTGGTTGTCAATTTAATATTGATTCAAGAGAAAACGACCCATCGTTCCAGAACTTACTCTACTTGGGCAAAGATGGTATAGCAGAAAGCAATATAGTCATGAGCTTCTTACAGGATAAAAACAAAAGTGCAATGAAATGGCAACTTGTTCACCTCTGTGTTGCAAGGTAACTATTCCGTACCTGGATGCGACGGTGGGAATAATTTAAAGAGTAAGAAATAGCAAAATATTCAGACCCCTCTTGTTTAAGCATTAAAAAAGTAGAAGGAAATGGATTAGCTGCTTCCCTTCTGGTGTAGGCTGCTGGTCTAGTTTAGAGACAGTCATCAGTTTAACGTTATAACCAGGGACATAACAAGAAGCAGCTTGGACCATAAAAAAAGCTGTCTATATATGTACAAGTCATTCTCCAAAAAAAACAGTTTTATTTGGATGCGTGCACAACCTGCTGCTCTTTAAGTCTTCAGAGCACTGAAAACATGACATTTTCCCCCAAAATCCAGTTGAGTCTGTCCTGAGAAATAGAAGTACTCATATATAAATGGGATGATATTGTCTGTGAGTGAGTTTCTTCCTGCAGGTTGGGCAAGAGTTGGCATTCCTAAGGGAATCACGGAGGCACTGGCTGCAGAAGACGTGGCCGCATTTGGTTGACACAATCAGTCGTCCACTTTGCACAATCTGGAAGAAAAGAAACCCCAACAGGTATTTGGAGTAAAGAATTCAACTTTGCTGGTCTGTTGGCACCAGGCCAATAGGACTTGGAGTATCTGTAACCAGTACGTCACTACTACAACAAGGAGGAACCCAAAGATCTTTCAGCGCCATCTTGGAAAGCGCTTCCCCCTCTACGTACACCACCAAGAAATGACTGAGTTACAAGCTAGCTTGACCTTCAAACCAAGGTCTGTACTTCAGGCCAGCTGTCTGTGGCGTCCCACGTAACCCAACCGACTCGCGCAGCTCACCCTCTGCCCCGTTCTCCCTCCGACAGGACAGACACGACGACAACGTGTGCATCCTTACCTCTGAGTAGCCATCCATGCAAATCGGGCAGCTAACGGTACCAGACGGCCTTGTGGGAGAGAGAACAAAACCAGAAAGAACATGCATCCGTTAATTTCACCGTGCATTGAGGGTTACCGAGACACAAAACGTCACGTAATCATCCGGCTGCACAGACGAGCCAGGACGCATTTCATCTGAAGACCCCTGCGTACCTTTAACTCTCTCAGTTTGTCGCATTTACTGAGCAGTTAGGGTCTCCCTTACCTAAAGGAAACAGCGCCTTGGTTTTCATTAGGGGGAAGATGCAATTAGTCACCCTGCTCTATTACGACAAGTAACAGCGGTCTATAGCACTGTGCAGTACACGTATGGCAGTATTAATCTCCAACAGGCATCGGGTCATAAATAAAAGAGTTTTGTAACAAAACCACCTAGCTGTCCTTTCTAGAAGTGAAAGCGGTTGTCAGAAATTAAAACATCCCCTATTCTAATTTAGCAATGTCCCAGCCCAGTCACACATTCATACCAAGAACTCCTTCCTTATAAAATGTAGGGCAGGAACACACTAACATGAGGAAATATTCAAAAATAAATTTCTAGTTCAGAGAAGGACAAACCAACTCAGTGGCTGTTACCAAACTGTGGTTATAGATGTACCTCTCCTGCCTTCAGCCTCTAGGACAGCTGTATTGCACGCACACTTACTAAAAGACATAGCTATTTCTGCGTAAGGAACGTGTCATACCATAAATGCTGAATAATGTTCTCTATCAGAAAGAGCTTTCTGTCATTTTTATTTACAGATTAATCTCTATTTTAAATGATCACAGTAAGCTGCTTTCGTAAGTTTTTACCATAAACATTTGGCTTTATTATGTCACCACCACTAAGCAACAGTTTGTAATTTATTAATTAAATAGGAATAGAAAGCATGAGATATCCTTTATCCTGCAATCTTAAATTCAAGCAGTGACCACTACTAACATCTACCCCTAGTTTCACATACATAATTTAAGTCCATTATTTCTCCCATTTTTACTACTCAAATTCTTTATGCAGCAGCTATAATACCAACTCAGTAATTAATTACAATTGATGGTAACCTTCCTATCAGCAAGAGTAGTCTAACACTACAGAGTAACACTGTAGACAGCTCTGTGGCAATCTTCAGCATCAGTACCTTTTTGTCAATGTTAAATGCTGCAGCACTGAGTTGGTTTAGCCTTACCTAAACAGAGCAGGAAGGCACATTCTTTAACAGAGAAGCTTAAGATTGAACGAACAAAACATTAATTTTTTTGTATTAACTAATTAGTGGGATTTATTCACCTACATACTTAATGACCAAAATTAAAACAATCTACAAATGCATTGGCAAAACGCGCTATGTTTTAGAATACTATAAGCCCTTTTAGGTGGCATATTTAAGACCTACCTGACACCCAAAATTTCCACACCCAAGTTCTCTCCTACATTGCCTTCCAGTAATCTAAAAAGCTCAAAGCACACCAGCTTTATTAAAACCTGTATTTTTTCCCCCCCCAAACACTTTGAAAAATGTTTATACTGCAACTCTCATGTTCTTTGTCTTCCCTAGTCACATGGACACCTGATTTCATTTGATTAGTCTAATACATTGTGTCTTTCTTAACGTAATACAGTGCTCCTACAGCAGGAGTTCACTGTTTCTCTGCAGAATGGGGTCTTTACTGGGCAGGCACCTGACCCGAACAGTGAGATCGCCATCTCACATGCAAACATATCAGAGCTCCATGACGTACATGGGACAGAACAAAAACTGGCCATAACTGTATTACCTCCACAATCGCCTTGCAAGTATACCTTGGGAAGAACAGTTACCAGTCTGAGAGAAAAAGGCAGTCAATGGGCACAGTGTGTAAAAAAGCAGCAAATTAATAGAAGTTTTTACTGGAATTTGCCAGGCTGCTGCCTGCTGGTCTTGTGGTACCAAGCCTCATCTACACCAATGGAAATATTTCCATATCTAGCATCCCTACTAGAGCTTTGCATGAAAAGTAAATGCAATACATTATGTACTATGGCCTGTGACTAATCCTCCCTCCTTGCCATACCCCCGCATTCACCTTTAAGGCTGTATGCAAAGTTGTACATTTGTCTTGGGCTGGCTTTTTATCTTAAAACGGATATCATTTAGTCATCATGCGAAATCTGATGTTAGTTCCCTGTTTCAGCGAGCACAACCAGAATAAGTTAAGACTTCAAAGATAAGCCAGGCTACAGCTATAGAACTCAGTCCTGTATAAGAAAAGCAAAATTCAATGTTTGGTAGGTTGTAAGGCATACATACTTTGAACTTGCAGTTTCATCTTCCAGTGGTCCCAATTCTCGAGATACTTTATCTGTCACATACACATCATTGTCTCTTGTTTCATCTTCATCATCGCTACTCAGTACACAGCTGTCCGACTGTCGCTGGCTTCTTAATCTGAGATTTCTCCCTTGTCGTTGGTTCTCTGTAATTTAATTTTGGTAAGTTAGATATATTAAAATATATATCTCTCTCCCTGGAACTATCCTTGAAATGCATGATTATAAATAGCCTGCAACGGTTCATATCTTAAATGGACTGTGTTCAGCTGGGTTAAAAGCAATCTTAAACAAACTAGTTTCCTAAACATTAAGGCTGACCATTTCCAGACATTGTGAATATTCTGCTACATATCAACACAAAACATTTGCTCTATTCACCCTACAAACAGCTAAAACATGATCTTAAAGATTCTCTGTGTCCTAAGTTTCATACAGTTACACTACCTGTGAATAAATCTCCCCTATAAGGAGAAGCTACTTCTCCCAGTTCTTACTAACAGAGAATGCTACCATACTATGTTGAGGAATTGCGACAATTGCTGTGTGATTTGAGAGAGAGAGGGATGAAGTCAAGTTTCCAAGTAGCATGGCGAGGTAGCACATACACAACAAAAAAGCCTGGTAAAACACAGAGTGCTTTGTTCAGAAAGTTTCAGAAGTGATGGAAGAGATGCTTAAATCTAAAAATGTAAATTATGGAGCTGCTATGGGTTCTCACTGCTCTATCCAGGTATGATGCTAAACCGTTCCACTCTTTTTGTCTGCGTTAAGCCAAACCTCGCCACTCAAAGGCAGTTTCTAAAAAATGAGTCTTTTTAAGAACAGTACTTGGAAATTATAAAAATATTTTAAGCAGTGTCTCCTTAGCAATTTTCATCATCTTCCTCCTGAGACAAGGTAACTTGAATATAGAGTTATATTGCCCAAGATAAAAGGAGATGATAAAAATCCAATTACCTGGTCTGTAACATCCAAAGGTTAAAGAACTGCTGTTTGCTTTTTAACAATTAGAAACCACATGCAATAATTATCTCTGCAACTCCAGTGTCCATGTAACAATAATCAAGCAGTAAGCAATTAAAGTTTCATAAATAGCCACAAACTTAAAATTCCTTCCTGCATAAGTATTCAGCTACAACTTTTATTGCAAGTATTTTTTACTTGGCTCTTGCTTCATTCAGAGCGCAGAACAGATTACTTTCTAAGTAAGCAGCTAACGACATACTAATACACCTCAGATATTATAATCAGAACAAGGTCTGAAAGGTGTAAAAGATTAACTTCTTTATACCCGTAACTATTGTAACACCTAAAGTAGAAAAAAAAATAAGTATTTTTTACTTGGCTCTTGCTTCATTCAGAGCGCAGAACAGATTACTTTCTAAGTAAGCAGCTAACGACATACTAATACACCTCAGATATTATAATCAGAACAAGGTCTGAAAGGTGTAAAAGATTAACTTCTTTATACCCGTAACTATTGTAACACCTAAAGTAGAAAAAAAAAATCCACATTATTAATACATGTCAGTATTAAATTTGAGGCATGTTAGACTAGATAATGGAAGTGAATACTATGACCACAAATAACTTTCTGCCTTAGTTCCTTCACTGGAATACAGGCTAAAAAAACCTTTCAACATTTTCTTATTCAAAGCAGATATTCCAGTGCTAAAAGTGCTAATTAAAATTATTATCAACTTTGGGCTTACAGAACTTCTGTATTTGGAAAATAAGAAAACATATTTTGAGCAGCTTTGATGTATTTCATTTGAGATAGTCGCTATCAGAGCTTGTAGCAAGTATCAAGCACAGACTGGATCCATTCTCTAAGACACTGGCCAGATGTCCTTTGCCTTTTGGTAAATGCAGTTTCAATCCATGCTGCTCAAACTCATTGGAAAAGAAAAAAAAAATTAAGTTTAGGACAATTCCATTATCAATTGTAAAACGTCAACTCACCTTCAACAATCTTGCATCAGTATATAAGGGAAGGGAGAGAAAAGAAAAATACAATTAGACTTTGGTGTGCA